TTGTAATGTATGTCATAAACATTACAATCACCGTCAAAGCCTAAGAAAGCACGTAAGGAGCGTACATGATGAAGTACGCCCAGCAAAATTTAACTGTGCCATCTGTGGTATATCCCACACAGATAGGCACAGGCTCAGAGCGCACATCCAGGACGTCCACAGAAGTGTGCAGCGACATCCATGTTTGTTGTGCGTCAAAAATTTTAAACATAAAAGGACTTTAAATAGTCACATGAAAAAGAAGCATGAAATGGAGGGGTAAATTTTTCGCGTGACTATTTCAAGTTCTTTTTTAATTTGCAAAATGCAAGGGTTTATACAATAGCCAATATAATTATAGCCATGTTTTGTGCCACTGTCAATTCTATAAAATATCGTGGGAGCTGGATGTCGCTGCACGTTTGATTAATGTTTTTAATTTGGAGTTCTTAGACTTCTAATTCTACAGGGTAATCGAATAGTTCGACCGCCCTTTTTTACAGAACACTACTATGTGGTCGTTCTAAGGGGTAAGCCATCAGGCTCCCTCCTCATTTAACCGTCAATCAAGTTGCCTATCATTCTGCTGAATTAACCGATACGAGAACGTCCTGATTGTGGTCGTTGACTTATTCAGCTGAGGGGTTCCAAAAGATTACGCTTGTTTTATTTTGACACAATAGCTATTGTGTAAAAATGATTATGAAGGTAGGAAGGGGACAGGGGTTCAAAATTGACTAATTGACGTGATAACGTAATATGTGAACGGTTCCTATCTGTTTTGTCGATAAACTACGAAATAATGACACTATAACAAGGTATATTTATATTAAACATTAGTGGGTGTCCTGAGAAATGATTTTGTTGCATTAATTACTCTTTTAAATGAAATATATCTATTTTAAGATATCAATTTCTAGATTCGAAGAGTACCTTTTCAGATGGTCTACATTTTTATGATAGATATTTATTTTACGGTGTTAATTTCTAGATTCAAAGAGTACCTGTTTCGATGGTCTCCAAAGCTATGGCGTCTTGTATGTTTGAGTCTGACTCATCATCTGTTTGATCCATGAAAACTAAATACATAGTAGGTTTTAAAAGGTACGAAAATTATCGGGGGGATGGTTCCCCTATATCCCGGGAACCCGAGAGAATTCAAAGTCATAATAGAGTACGGTTATCTTAGTTATTATAGCATATTTAATAGTACGCTAACATATAATTGTCTAAATATCAGATAATTATGTACATAATATAAACATTGAAATTAATGTTCACAAGTTAGATGGCCATGGCGCCATAAATGTATAATACATTACATTCATTACAGCATGTTTTCATCTAGAACATTCCAGTCTCACGAAACTCAATATCGTATCATTGCAGAGACGTCGAGAAAGGTACATCTTGATCCACACATGGAAAATTCTCAATGGCCTGGCCCCAAATGATATTGGCATGCTGTTCAAAAACAACCCCCGACATGGAATAAAAGCTACTGTACCAGCACTGAACAACAAATCACAGCGTTCTGTGGCAACTCACTATGAAAACTCGTTTGGAGTGAAAGCGGCACAGCTGTGGAATCTTCTCCCCAAAGAAATTAATTCCATCTCTACTTTGGACCTGTTAAAATCGTCACTGGCTAAATTCCTTAAAGAACTCCCCGACACACCTCCGACTAAAGGATACACCGCTACTAACAACAACTCACTCTTGGAATGGTAGTGGTACTTACAAAAAGACCCCTGTGGAGTGATAGGAGGACGTACTTGATACTGTTGTCCTGAAGCGATCACAGCAAAACCTACTCAAAGTACTCAAAGTAAGTAAGTAACAACTCACTCAGGAATTCCACCCGTAAGAAAAATTCATCTCACTCTATGTCACAATTATGAAACTATTTTAAGACTATTTCACACATTTGTAAGAAAGACAGCTTTGAGTAAATTTTTTGTTAGTCTAACAATAAATACCTCAGGTTGAAGGGATATAAACCGTCGAAATAAATCACAACACAAATTCGGGCTAACAGCAGTTTTGGAACATACCACATTAAAAGGACCACCGCAACTGTTACCCATCAGGATCGCAGGTCAAGTCTACTTTACTTAATGGATAAATATAACAATTAAAACTAAAAGAATGTTTAAAAGTTGTCTCGAGGTTTTCTAAAACGTGGATTCTATTGACATATATTCTAAGAGTTGATGAATCCGGAATTTTGGAACATTTTCGGAACAAAAATCGGGACGAAAGTCTTCGAGAATTTGATAAAATTTTAAACAAACCAAAGGCATGATACAGATTTGGCGCAAGCTTTGATAAACTTTGCGCGCACAAAGCCGCGCGTCATTTGCACGTGCATCGAATCATTCATAACTGACCACAAACATAAACTGGAAGTAGGAGGGCCCTTCCATTACTAATTTGATATGTAGCTATATTGAAAATTTGCCCGAAACTGGAAACCACAATTTTACTAGTAGAAGAATTACTTGCCCGTTGACGTTAAAATTAAATGAATTTGATATTTCAGAACCCGACTGCTGATCTCAAATTTGAAGATTAACAATTCATTGGAACATGGAATAACTATATTGGAAAATACGTCAGATCAAGCTGAGAATGAATACATGTTTTGTGGGGAGAAAATCGGTAACTGGAAGTGGACCCTCTCAAGCAGTGATGAATTTCACAAAATGTTCAAAATACCACGCCCGGCATCGAACCATGGACGTCCATCATTCGCTGCCTGACACTATAGCCCACAGATTACTCGTCTGAGCTACTCAACCGTTGTCAGATATGTTATTAGGTGGTATTTGGACAATTGTAATATGTAATGACAAATAGTGTATGATCTCTTTTTTTATGTTTTTAAAGATTCTATTTGATGTGTACAGTGTTTGTGTTGCATTCTAAAATAAACCGCAAATAAATTTCATGTCAATTTTAAATCTTCTAAGCCAATCTTTTAGCTATAGTTGTCTTGTAAGCAGTAATAGTTACATTTTGATATTATACCTATATTTATTATTGTAATACTGTTGTATAATGCTGTTTCTTCCTCATTGTAGCTTACATATAGGATAGCATATTTTGCTATGATCTTTGATCACAGTTGACAATACTTGATTAGGGTTAATGATTGTACGCGTTTGAAATCTTGATTTGATATCATTATAACCTTTACTAATATTCAGATGAATGAATTTGATGTTTTATTTTTCCTCGGCACTATTGAAAATCCTTTAAGGGATGGAATCGGCACTGTCAAATATCTTTAAAAGGTTCGTGAACGAAATGACAATCGATCTCTTGACGAATTTCAGCCTAAAAATTGTTTTGACTCGCGTAGCAATATGAAGCCCGCGGCATTCGCCGGGGTGTATAACATGCGCCTTAACACATAACTGTGGCGTCGCGCGTGCAATACAGACTCTTTTTATACACATTATTATACACATATATTATAGGGGAGTGGTCTATATTGCGAAGGAGCAGACTTTTGTCGACAACGCAGGTCCATCGGGCCACCTCATATATCCAAGCCCGATTACTTATTCCGATCCCTACGATCTTTTTGCCTTCGGCAAGAGTAGGGAAAAAATTAAAGTCGAAATGTGATAATTCTACGTTGATTCTGAAAATTTCATGTAAAAATGAAAAATATTGAAACCCTTTTGAGTTATATTTATATTGTTTTGAGCAAAATCAGTTTCGCAAATATCGCGAACTGAGATATGGGCGATTTTGTTCATTTTTTGCGATTATTTGAACACAAAATCCACAATTAGGTAAACTAGATACTGAGCTGATAATCATAGAAAATGTGAAATATAGGCTTACCTTTCATATAAAGTTTGTCTCATCCAAGATATTGATAATTGACCAATTTATGGGCTAGGGCTAAAATCTATCAAATTTGGTGCGTATGTCTAAATATTGGCATATGGTTTTTAGCTCATAACTTAGTCATTTTTTGTCAAATCTTGATGAAAATTCATATACGAGTTCAGGGGACCACTGGCACTAGCTACATAACATAACAAGTATACAAGTAGAGCACCTTAACCAAATATGGACGTGGCTCTCCCGCGGTTGACCATTGTTAATGATCTGGCCCGGCGCGTTCACCTAACGATGTGCTTTCGCGCCACTGCGGGCGCGCTTGTTTCACAAGTGAGGCGGGCGCGCGCTACTGCAAGCGCAAGGGCTCTGGATAGAGCAACCCGGCGCGCGCTACTTCGTAGCACTTGCCGTCGGAAGAAATCAGCGCGCGCTACTTCGAAGAAATTTAGACGAGTAACATCCGTCAATCCCGCGGGCACCGGTGGGCATCCGGACACCGGAGTCCGGAACCCCCTCAAAAGTTCGGTCACATGCCGCGCCTAAGTTTATTGCCATTGGTAAATTGTTATCTCGAAATCAAATTTCACAAGAAAATCAGGGTGAACCCCTTTTTAGTAGAGGCTTTTACGGGCAAAAAGACGTGTTTAATTTTCTGCTATGCGTTTTGAGACTTAACCATTAATTGGACAATTAATATCAACTAAATGCTTTTTGCTTTTGCGCGTATTGCGCGTCGAAAATTTGGCAAAAACGCTTGCGGAGTGACAATATTCAAACTTCGATAAGGTATATGAATTATAAAATGGGTACTTTTCGGAAAGGAAAAATTTTCGAAAACACGATGTGACTATTTTTGGGTTGATTCAATACAACTGCAAAAAATTATTTATACTTTAAGCAAAAAAGGGCACATTTGACCACCTTTTTGGATTTTTACACGTGAAAAAATTAAGGGATTTGTTTTATTTTATACCATCATGTGCGGCTGTATTTCAGCTATCTTCATGACTTTCATTGTTAATGAAAAAGCCCGGCGCGCGCTTCTTCGTAGCACTTGCCTCGCGGGCAAGCATTTCGAGAAATAAATCGGTGCGCACAACTTCGATCAAAGAAATTTAGACGAGTAAAAAGCAATTATGATAACTCATAAGATTTCTTCGACTATGTCAGGCTTTCAAATCAGATTTATGGTATGTAACCCTTTTTACAGGATTCTTTGCAATTACAAAATTTCGGTATGCACTCCTCATAACGTGCAATACTAGGCTGCTTTTTATCATAGTATCAAGGAAACTCTCCCAGATTAACAAAAACTGATGAGGTGAAATTCTGAAAACGAGCTTCATTTACTTAATAGTTATCTCGACTGACTGACAATGTCTCTTCTTTTCCCCATTTAGAATACAAAGATTAGTACATTTTAGCTTATGATTAATATTATATTTTTACCTATAGTTTACCTAGATTACAGACATTGGCTTGTCTGTAACAGACAACTATTAACCCAATTACAGCTGAAAGGTTTTAAGACCTATAACAGTTGGCAACAACATTATAGGTCTGTCTAAGTCGGCTACATTTCTAGGAGTGACCTTAGCTAGGACAGCAAACTTAACTTCATTGAACATACCATCAACACCACCAAAAAAGCCACAGCAAACAAATAGACAGGATGGTGCCAGTGGCGTAACGTTGCCTGTTGGCGCCCCCCTGCCGAAAAGGCGCCCCCCTGTTGGCGCCCCCTCCCCTTTTGGTGCCCCTCCCTAAAATTGAACAAATTAGGTGATTTTAGAGGATACGCCGGTAAAATCTCTAAAAAAGTGTGTATCTAGAGCAAAACGCGCAGTTTTGCTTGTACTTTAGTTAAGTTTTCGAAATTGTCCCACATTCAAACGACGATTTGGCGCCCCCCCTAAGACGGCGCCCCCCTGCACAGCGGGGTCAGCAGGGCCCTTCGTTACGCCACTGGATGGTGCAAGACTGGACATCAGTGCGAGATCGTTTTGGTCGCCGCTGGACAGGGCATTCACAGATGTAAGGGTACTTCACCCTCAAGCCCAGTCCAACAGTAACAAGAGCATCTCACAGATGTACCAATCTCACGAGAAAAGCAAATAACGTGAGTACAATGACAGAGTCCTCAATGTTGAAAAGGCTACCTTCACGCCACTGGTGTTCAGTACTACAGGAGGAATGGCAAATGAGGCTTCACAGTTTCTAAAACATCTCGCTGAAAAGATCAGCCTAAAGAAAGGCCAACGGTATTGGCGATTCTAATTCTAATATATCGTCAATTCTAAATATTTACAATGCAATTCATTAATCTATAAACAAGTGTACTCCAGCCTAGCCCCTACACGCATCAATTCTTATGCATCGCGGCCCAAGCTGCGCACACACGTATTATTTTATAATTTTAGCTTTCTAATAAATATAGTGTCAATGTGTACGTTTAGATTGTAAATGTTCATGTTTTGTGTAAACTGAATCCAATTGAGACTAGTGATAAGGATAAGGACCCAAGTGCCTGTACGGCTTTTTCGGACCCATGTGGACCACTACTCTTGAAATCGCTCTATATCATTGAACATTTATATCCATATAATATTAACTGTGATATAATTTACTACGTCATTTGACAATTAAATGTAATAGATTTGTAAAAAATGTAATTTTATTTAACAATAAGTAATTTTAAATCTCGTTGCAGGCAATGCCCCAAGTGACAGTAAACAATGTAGATGTTGACTTTCCATTTTCTCCTTATAAATGTCAGGAAGATTACATGGGACATGTAATCAGAGCTCTTCAGTCAAAACAAAATGCAATTCTGGAATCTCCAACTGGAACTGGTAAAACATTGTGCCTTCTGTGCTCAGTTCTTGCATGGCGACTTACTTACATTGCCAAACTTCAGCTCAGTGGAATAGCAGCTAATGCTAATATTGCCGGATTGGATGAAGCTGCTGGGAACAATCAAGCATTAGAGGGATTTAATGCTATTCCTAAAATTATATATGCATCAAGGACTCACTCTCAGATTTCACAAGTTGTCAACGAGCTCAAGAATACGATATATAAACCAAAAGTGAGTGTGCTCGGCTCCAGAGATCAGCTCTGTTTACATCCCAAAGTGATGAACATCGAGAACAACATGGCAAAAATCCACACCTGCCGTGCGAAAGTGAAGGAAAGATCTTGTGTGCACTACACTAACGTAGATAAGAAAATAAATGACGCAATATTTGGGGAGATACTGGATATTGAGGAACTTGTTTCAGTTTCAAAGGAGAAGACCATGTGTCCATATTATTCATCAAGAGAACTCTTGAGACGTGCTGATATAATCTTCATGCCATATAACTATCTTATTGATAGCAAAACTAGGAAAAATCAAAACATAACACTTGAAAATTCCATTGTTATCTTCGATGAAGCTCACAACATAGAAAAGGTTTGTGAGGAATCGTATTCATTTGAAATAACTTCTTTAGACATAGCTAACTGTATAGAAAACTGTCAGTTGACATTACAAAGGATATTGGATGACGATGGGTCTGCTAGCACAAGTTCGGGGCCAAGTTATGACAGTGGTGAATTGACAAAAGAGGATGTTTTGACTATGAAAGCTATTTTCCTGTCTCTTGAAAGAGAATTCAATAAGTTAGAAGTAAAAGGATCAGGTAACATCATAGACAAGTCTACTTTTAAAAACCTGCTTGTGTCCATAAATGTGAATCAAGAGACAAAAGGGTTGATTACGGAGGTTCTCCAAAAGATGGAATCAGTGTTATCTCTAAGCAGTTCTAATAAACTAGTGGGTAACACGTTTGTTGTCCTCAACAACTTTATGCAGATACTTGATTTGACTCTCGACCAGAGCGAGGCCTCCAAACACCAGTATGTTTGTTATGTGTCGAAGGAGAAAAAGGATTCAAAATATGGTAAGTCAGGGAAAGCCTCGACTTGGGTTGATAAAAATATAGAATCAGTTGCCCCACAGTTCATTACCAAGCTTTCTTACTGGTGTTTTAGTCCTGGGCTAGCCATGGAGGAGTTTGTGAAGAGTGGTGTTTACTCCATTATACTAACCAGTGGTACTCTTTCTCCAATAAATTCCTTTTCTTGTGAATTGAGGATACCTTTTCCTATCACTTTACAGAATCCTCATGTCATTCAGCCAAGTCAAATATCTGTGCAGGTACGTTTCACACATTTTTACAATTTGGATCTGTACTAATCCTGCAATATCTATCATTGGATATAACATTTAATTGGAAGCTCATTATTTCTCATTATTTGCCAGTATTTTGTGATGTGTTTGTATTTCGTCAAATACGATACAATCAATTTTGTGGATATAAAATTAAAGTTGTAATATCTATAATGCATCTTATTTATGGTATAATCGTTTCCATTTCAGATAATCTGTAAAGGCTGTGATGGAACTGATTTTCTTTCAACATACGCAAATAGAAGCAACCCAAAATACCTCTCCTCTTTGGGCACTTCCATTGTTAATCTACTCAGAGTAATTCCCAACGGAGTTTTGGTTTTCTTTCCCAGTTACGGAGTCATGAACAACACCATCCAATCTTGGCAAACCACCAATATTTACTCTCGTATGCTGAAAACTAAACACTGCTTCACAGAGCCACGATCTAAGAACGAAATGGCAAAATTGATGAGTGAATTTGATGACAAAGTCAGAAACCCTACAGATGGAGCTACGGGAGCAATGCTGTTTGCAGTTTGCAGAGGTAAAGCCAGTGAAGGTATTGATTTTGCGGACATGCATGGACGGGCTGTAATCATAACAGGCCTGCCTTTTCCACCGAAAAACGACCCTAAAGTGAGTGCTAAAATCAACTATCTGGATCAACAGAAGAGAAACAGACCAAATTCGTTGAACGGTCAAGAGTGGTACATTCAACAGAGCTCCCGAGCTGTGAACCAGGCTGTCGGCCGAGTTATTCGACACAAAGATGACTTTGGGGCAGTTATTTTTATGGACAAAAGATTTTCATTCAGATCAAATGTTGATGAGCTACCTAAGTGGGCACGAGGATTTGCAAAGGTAAACGAGCAGTTTGGTTCCGGTTTACGTGAACTATCCCAATTCTTTAAACTTCATGTTAATAGGGTATGTGAGAAAGAAGAAAGTGAAGAACCTGTTAAATCATCAAATACCAACCGACTGAGTAACATGTATGATGCCTTTAGACCCACCGAGAAGGACTTACCCAAAGAAAGATTTGCAGCACCAAACTTGGATGATTCTACACATGAAGTTACGCCGCCTCCCAGGAAAATGGCTCGAACTGATAAGAGAGTAAGCTTGATAAGCTCATTGAACGGTACCGGTTCGGCTGATTACTCCTTTGCTCCTTCTATGTCTCCGGTAAGCAGTCGATCTACCACGGACTACAAGACACCTGAGGCTATCAGAAATCCCAGAAAGAAATTCAGACTTGTTACCAAACAAGATAAAGAAAATAACCTCAACTCTTTGTCGCAAATAACATCCGTTATGAGTAGCCCTCTGGCTTCTACCCAGAGAGAACAACCTAAAGTGACAAAATCCCAAAATTTCTCTGCAACATTAAAAAGTTCGTTATCTGACGCTGAGTATGAAGTATTCAGAGGGGTCGTGAAGGAGTATAAGACAGAAAAGAATATCGTGAAACTTATCGACAATGTTACAGATTTGTTTATGGCAAATCACAAGGACTTATTGAAAGGTTTTAGAATATTTCTTAAGGATAAAGATAAGGAAACATTCGACAAATTTTTGTCAGAGAAAGGTTTAATATAATAAATTGTTTGAAGTAGCATTTTAATCTTTTACTATTGTACTAATCCCACTAATGGGCTTTTAACATAATTTTGTTGTTTTTAATCACTAAATTTTATTTGCTATAATATTGTCTTATTAAAATCGAATCACCGAGTTGAGCTATAAGGGATTGTTAATAAGTTGTTTAGAATATGTTTGGTATTTGTAAATAATTTGTTTTAGCAGCTTCACTGTACAAATTAATACGGCGACTTACAATATAACATAGTATTTAAAATCTTATTAAACACTAGCAAGTTGTCGAGATGGGAGCTGTAATGAGCGGATATCTGGAGTCCCCAGTTACGGAGAAGGAGGTAATCGACGGAATATCAAAGTTGGGACTGAAATACGGTGCTAGCAGTATGCAGGGATGGAGGGTTGCTAACGAGGTCTGTTATCTCTCTCATTCTTATCTCTCTGTTATCTCTCTCATTCTTATCTCTCTGTTATCTCTCTCATTCTTATCTCTCTGTTATCTCTCTCATTCTTATCTCTCTGTTATCTCTCTCATTCTTATCTCTCTGTTATCTCTCTCATTCTTATCTCTCTGTTATCTCTCTCATTCTTATCTCTCTGTTATCTCTATCATTCTTATCCCTCTGTTATCTTTCTCATTCTTATCTCTCTGTTATCTCTCTCATTCTTATCTCTCTGTTATCTCTATCATTCTTATCCCTCTGTTATCTCTCTCATTCTTATCTCTCTGTTATCTCTCTCATTCTTATCTCTCTGTTATCTCTCTCATTCTTATCTCTCTGTTATCTCTCTCATTCTTATCTCTCTGTTATCTCTCTCATTCTTATCCCTCTGTAATCTCTCTCATTCTTATCTCTCTGTAATCTCTCTCATTCTTAACTCTCTGTAACCTCTCTCATTCTTATCTCTCTGTTATCTCTCTCATTCTTATCCCTCTGTTATCTCTCTCATTCGTATCTCTCTGTTATCTCTCTCATTCTTATCTCTCTGTTATCTCTCTCATTCTTATCTCTCTGTTATCTCTCTCATTCTTACCTCTCTGTTATCTCTCTCATTGTCCGTGTTATCTCTTTCATTGTCCGTGTTATCTCTCTCATTGTCCGTGTTATCTCTCTCATTGTCCAATGTCCGTGTTATCTCTCATTGTTCGTGTTATCTCTCATTGTTATCTCTCTCATTTCCATTTTATCTCTCTCATTTCCGTGTTATCTTTCTGTTATCTCTCTCATTGTCCGTGTTATCTCTCTCATTGTCCGTGTTCACTTATTTACTTTTAAGTCTTTTTTTACTGTCCGTGGCTTGTGAAATAAGGTAAATTTTAAGGAAAACAAAATTTAAATTTGATTGCCATTACACTAAATATTCATATCATAGTAATTATAGGTAAACATCCGATAATAAACTTATTAGAACCAGTAGTGAGTACAGCGCAACATGCTTGTCCACCAAGAGAACTATCAAGTTAAGTACAGTAAAACCCCGGTTTGTGTTTAATCGGGGCGCAGTAAAGCGGGGTATTATAAATGTACCTTCATGATCATGATAGACATCTTATGTCTTTAAGTGTGCATTACTTGATATTGCAACGGTTCCCATTTGTCACCCCCACTCTCGATTATTTTGCTGCCCTCTAAAATTTGTCTTATGTCCGCAACTGGAAACCAGGTTAATGCAAAATGGTAGCGAACATTTTTATTGGTTCAACTGACATTAAAACTAGGGAATATAGGTCTCCGTGAACAATTGGGGACAGTATCAAAGAAGCCCGATCCAGTCCACGAACTAATTATGACATGATGGTAAACAGATCATATGAATGGTATCTTGGATGCAATTACTTACGGCTAGCATTATAGGACATGATGTTATATCCTGCTCCGCATACCACCCTGTGACCGCTTTTGACGCCAGAGACCATTCTAACTTTGCTTCTCCTCAATCAGTCCCCTCCAAATGGAAAGGGACAGGACATGGAGTTCTTTGAAAGGTTTTTTTTCTTTTCTGGAATAGGAAGTCTCGAGCGTTCTCTAATATGGAGGCCGTGGGTCCATTTCTTTCGTTTATTACTAGACCGTAACCGTGTCAGGAATTGGAATAGTTGTTGTCGTTGCTGATAGTGGTAATTGATAATACTCCATAGAAATCGAATGACTTATGTATATTGTATACCTCATTTAATAAATCGTAATCTTTGTCTTCATTCAGTAATTTACAACGTTACCAATTGCATCCAAGATATCATTCATATGATCTTCTAACCTTCATGTCATAAGTAGTCCGTGGACTGGTGCACGGACTGGGCCAGCTTCTTGGATACTGGTAACTGACGATTGTCATGTAAGTGTTGTAGCAACCCCGTGAATAATCCACTAGGTATCCTTCTGCTTTTTCGGCGGAGTATCTTCGATCGGTCGCATCTGAGTCTAGTTTCTGTCGATGTAAGCCTGAGGGTAGTACTCCTGCTAGTTCTAATCTTTGCCATTACTGCAGACGCGGTCGACATAAATTCAATATCGTCCGCGCTTCGTGTTTAATTAAGACGCGAGCGCGCGAAAATGTAATATTTGCGCGTACGTTGGCGGCACCGGCCACGATTACAAAATGGGCTTATAGGTATCCGCTTTTCTAGATATTGGTACTGAACAGTGAACAAGAAGTTATTGTCATTTAATCAGGTTGAAAATATAGTAATCTTCTGCAGTGTCTTCCCTCGTGCATGTGAGTGAGCACACTTCTCATCAACTTTGACACAATTTCGTAATTCGTGGCGCTTTGACATTCAGCGAGATTCCCCTTTTGACTGCTAAACAGATCACCTCATCGCTCTAAATAAATCTTCAGGATGCAATGAGCTGTGTTCCTGACCTGACAGACAATTCGGCACTGTTTGCCGTATACGATGGCCACGGTGGAGGCGAGGTGGCTCTCTACGTCGCTAAATACCTTCCAATGCTCCTTAAAACACAGTATGATTTTACTGATGGCAAGATCGAGCAAGCTTTGAAAACAACATTCCTGGCTGTTGATAAGCAGATTGTGTTGGAGGAAACGGCTGATGAATTGCAGACGCTGGCAGGTCAGTGGAATTATACGCATTGTTACTTGTTAATTCTCGTAGTTTGGTTATATTAATGAACTGTCATCATTTTTGACAATTCTACTTTTTTATTTGGGGAGGGGAGGGCCGGAGGGGGCTGACCATATTTAATCATATTAAAGTATATCCCCGGCCCTAAATCGGGGAAAAACCTACATTTTAATATACTTTAATATACCCAAAATTAGTCTAGCTATATTATTCGTTTAGATTTGCAAGATAAGCCTGTTTTTGGACTAGTACATGAATTTACATCCAGTTTGGTCAAAAAATGGATGAGTTATGAGCTTCAAACCATATGCCCATACTATGCTCATCGATCAGCAAAATGAAAACATCGAAGACGATTGGCCTAATTTCATGTTATATTGTATAACAGGACTAAGAAAATCAAAGCGTAACATAAACCAAAATGCCGATAATAACCTTGTCTCTACATCTTAGATTAAATGCACACACTTATGCATCACTCAATAAACGTCGCATATCTCATCAATTACACTGCCAACATAGGACATTCTTTTTTATCGCCGCGATTTCAAATCAAGTTACAAATTCTACAAATTTTGAAGTGCTCAGTCTTGTTTTACTTTTCTTATCTTTACCTATTAACCATTGGAAAATAAAACTTTAAGTTATAAACCTTCATTGCATACTTTACCGGTAGAGTTTAAATTGAATAGTTTGAGATTTCCTTTACATTTTATATTTATGCATGTGCCCCACGGGGATGAATTTCTTATTACCATTGATATTATTTTTTTTTGAGTAAACATTGGCTGGTACCACAGGCCAGTCCCCAACAAAAAAAAATTTGGGCATACGCAACAAATTTGAAAGCTTTTACCCAAAATTCGATCAAATTTCAATATTTTTGAATGAGACTAACTTTGTGTGAAAAATATAGCTCAATAATATCTGATGAATAGTGGATACTCAGTAAAAAGACCTCCATGAAAAAAATTGCACATGTAATATTTCGGTTCGGGATACTAGCCAATTTAATGACTTCATTAAATTTAAAATAACTCCGTCAGTTTTCAATATTTTTGCATGAAATTTTCGGAATCGATTAAGAATTGCATTTCAAGCTTATTGTGGGCAGCGATTTCTGATTTAGGTAAAAAATAGGGATATATTAAAGTATTATATTAGAGTATATTAAAGTATATCCCCGGCCCTACATCGGGAAAAAACCTACATTTTAATATACTTTAATATTATGGTCAGCCCCCCCCCCAATTTGTGTCTAGCGTGAATCTAATTTGTACTGCGTAGAAAACTACAAACGAGTCAATTAATTTCATCTTTTGTTCTATCTAAGGTACTAAAGGAGACGATGAAGATGAAGAAGGAATGGAAGATAAGATCAAAGAATGTGAGGAGCTGAACGAAGAGGCCCAGCTGCCACTTGTGGACCTGCTCGCCAAATACAAACAAAAATGTTAGTATTTAATTTATGCTTCTAGTTGAACGGCATGAAATGCACCCGAATCAGTGTGTTGAAAGCACAAAAATAAAGGTTCTAAAATTCCAGAACGCTCACTGTACCGACCTTTCTGATGTAAATTGCCAATTGTGATTTCTAAACGGCTTATTTCCAGTCAAAGAGTGCATGGAAGAAGAAATGGCGGAGAAAGAAGGCAACTTTGAAGGATCCGGGAAAGGAAAGAAGGCTAAGGTGGAAGTTCCTGATATCTTACAAGGCGGTGGAGAGCCTGCAAGCGCTGGATCAGCTGCAAATGGGAAGGAAATCGTCAAAAACGGAGTGCGTATTCAAGATGTTAGTTTTCTGTTGACGTATGATAATATACTGATATTGATAAACTATGTATTATCCCCTTTGTACCATGAATACAGTACAGCTACAGTGCGTCTTTTGAATTAATTCGCTAACCTTAAACATTTCAGAAAGATTCAGAATCTGAAAGTAGTTCCCCTTCAAAGAAAAACGGCGCCGACGAGACGACTGGTTAGTAGATATCAAACAGAAAGATCCAACATCAAGGAGCAGGATTTGCCGCCTGAAAACTAACATTTTACCTTTCCTGAGCTGACTTGTTCGATTTTACTGGAATAAGGTGATTTTATTTGAATAAGGTGATTTTCTCACACGACTTGCTCCATTTTCAGCAAATGGGGACGAGAGTAAGAATGGTGAGGGTGAAGAGGAATCTGATGAAGAGGAGGAGGAAGAGGCAGAAATGACTGACGAGGACGATTCGGTTAGTTCGATGATGTTAACCGATCATAATCCTGAAATATCAACAAATGAAATATCAACAAATGTGGCAATAATCTAGTTAGTATTATGTGGATATCGAATAAACAAGCCTTGTAATATTTATAATGTTCTCCAGGACGAAGAGGGGTCAGAGGAGGGGTCATCAGAAGAGGATAGTGACGATGATGACGTTCCCCCAGAGTTTGATGAGAGAGAGGGGTACGGAAGTGGCACTACCGCTTGTGTAGCCGTTATCCAGGAGGGGGTTATCACTGTAGCTAACGTTGGTAAGTTGATCACTTCCCTTCCCGTTGAAATTTCACTCTTACAATCTCACCTCCTTAAAATTTACTCAGTTTAGTGGTCTTAATTGCCTGATAATTGCCCGATAATTGCCTGATAATTGCCCGATAATTGCCTGATAATTGCCCGATAATTGCCTGATATAATCACGGTTAATTTTACACAGGTGACTCGAGGTGTGTAGTGTGTACCAAGGACGGAGTTGCAGTGGACTTGTCCGAGGACCACAAACCAGAGAGTGAGATCGAGAAGACCCGGGTTGAGAAAGCAGGAGGGAAGATAACGAAGGATGGTCGTGTAAACGGTGGTCTGAACTTGTCACGTGCACTGGGAGATCATCAGTATAAGCAGAACACTGACCTGCCTCCAGAGGAGCAGATGATAAGTCCCATGCCGGACCTTCAGACACATACTATTGCAGAGTGAGTCAGAGAGAGAGAGAGAGAGAGAGAGAGAGAGAGAGAGAGAGAGAGAGAGAGAGAGAGAGAGAGAGAGAGAGAGAGAGAGAGAGAGAGAGAGAGAGAGAGAGAGAGAGAGAGAGAGAGAGAGAGAGAGAGAGAGAGAGAGAGAGAGAGAGAGAGAGAGAGAGAGAGAGAGAGAGAGAGAGAGAGAGAGAGAGAGAGAGAGAGAGAGAGAGAGAGAGAGAGAGAGAGAGAGAGAGAGAGAGAGAGAGAGAGAGAGAGAGAGAGAGAGAGAGAGAGAGAGAGAGAGAGAGAGAGAGAGAGAGAGAGAGAGAGAGAGAGAGAGAGAGAGAGAGAGAGAGAGAGAGAGAGAGAGAGAGAGAGAGAGAGAGAGAGAGAGAGAGAGAGAGAGAGAGGAGAGAGAGGGAGAGAGAGGGAGAGAGAGGGAGAGAGAGGGAGAGAGAGGGAGAGAGAGGGAGAGAGAGGGAGAGAGAGGGAGAGAGAGGGAGAGAGAGGGAGAGAGAGGGAGAGAGAGGGAGAGAGAGGGAGAGAGAGGGAGAGAGAGGGAGAGAGAGGGAGAGAGAGGGAGAGAGAGGGAGAGAGAGGGAGAGAGAGGGAGAGAGAGGGAGAGAGAGGGAGAGAGAGGGAGAGAGAGGGAGAGAGAGGGAGAGAGAGGGAGAGAGAGGGAGAGAGAGGGAGAGAGAGGGAGAGAGAGGGAGAGAGAGGGAGAGAGAGGGAGAGAGAGGGAGAGAGAGGGAGAGAGAGGGAGAGAGAGGGAGAGAGAGGGAGAGAGAGGGAGAGAGAGGGAGAGAGAGGGAGAGAGAGGGAGAGAGAGGGAGAGAGGGGGGGAGAGAGGGAGGGAGAGGGAGGGAGAGGGAGGGAGAGGGAGGGAGAGGGAGGGAGAGGGAGGGAGAGGGAGGGAGAGGAGGGAGAGGGAGGGGGAGGGGGAGGGGGGAGAGGGAGAGGGAGAAGGAGAGGGAGAGGGAGAGGGAGAGGGAGAGGGAGAGGGAGAGGGAGAGGGAGAGGGAGAGGGAGAGGTGAGAGGGAGAGAGGGAGAGAGGGAGAGAGGGAGAGAGGGAGAGAGGGAGAGAGGGAGAGAGGGAGAGAGGGAGAGAGAGAGAGGAGAGAGGGAGAGAGGGAGAGAGGGAGAGAGGGAGAGAGGGAGAGAGGGAGAGAGGGAGAGAGGGAGAGAGGGAGAGAGGGAGAGAGGGAGAGAGGGAGGGAGAATGTTATCACAATTGTTTAAATGTTTTAAGTTACCCTTTACTTTTAGCGACTCAGCTCGGGTCTTGAGTCCTGAGTGGACACTCAGTTGTCACTAAAACTAATCTTTTGATATAACATGATCAGCCTCTAACAAAACCCCTCCCCTGCCAGATCAGACGAGTTCATGTTAATAGCATGTGATGGTATCTGGAATGTGCTGACCTCCGACGCAGCTATTTCCTTTATCAGAGAGCAGATCGCAGAGGCTAAGGCTGGGGATAAGTGCAGTAAGACATGGCTCTCTGATATCGCAGGGCAGGTACTACCTTAACCTTTACTAACGATTTCTTCAATTTGTGCCATTTTTTGATTTGCGAGCTTTTTTCAAAGTCCTCCGTATTTGGTGTGGTATAAGTTAAAATAAATCGTACCGTCTAGCTACTAAGTATGCATTCTGTATTTATATATTTATCGTCTGTAAGTTTCTAAGAAACATGTTAATATGTATGTACTCTTATAGCATGTTAATATTCAATCGCTTTAAAATCAAAACTTTAACTTTAAAACATACGTTAGTCAATTAAAACTCTATAGTTGATGGAGAAGTGCATGGCACCTGACACGAGTGGAGATGGTACTGGCTGCGATAACATGACTTGTCTTATCGTCCTTCTCAACCAGGTAAAACACAAGGAAATATCTTGTAAAATACCATATGTTGTACTGGTTACTTAACTATCTTTTTTTGAAATACAGCATGTAATATAATGGTATATTTAATATGATTTGTATTACATGATTCTCTAATTTGGAGTGCAACCTCTGATATGCTTAAAAATATGAATGTCTGTTTCTTTAACTTCAAACATGTCTGCAATTCCAATTTTTAGAAATTAACAAATCTCCCCTCCAAGGACACGTCGAAAGATGTCCAGAAAAGGAAGATGTCGGGACAAGCAGACACTCCTGAAGCGAAGAAGAGCAAGTCAAGCTAATCCCCCGCTCTCTACCACTGGACACCTTATTATTTCACTGACAAACTCACATATTACTTTGCTGTGGGAGCTGCTATTTGTTATTGGACAGTACCTCCTAGCTGTGGGGCGCCCAGGAACATTATCTTCTATTTTCCGGGCTATTTTCAAACTTGAAACCTTCCGAAACGAACATTTCGACAAAAAAAGCCCCTTTTTCCCAACACCAACCAGACTTTAATATATTTATTAAGAACCAGACTTTCTCCAGAACCAATGATGTGGTTATCGTTTTCTATGTGGTCGCCCCTCGAGCATGCAAAGTGCGCTTCAATCTAATTCTATTGAACGATAATTGCTATACATGAAGAACTGTAATAGAATAATAGTATGAAAGGCAGTGGTTGAAATAGTTCATGATCGTGTCTGAGATCACCAGATTGATTGCATGACATGAATAATAGATAATGGATATCCATAAATGGGATATATATATGTGCGTTCGCTCATTCCATTCATGATATTAAAATAAAGAGAAAGACCGATGTGAGACTGCGGTTAAAAGTTTGCTAGAATTTTTGCAGTTGACGAAGAGCGTACTAATCTTTTGAAGGTTTTGAAGTTGTCAGGAGCTAGTCTGCTTTGCTCGAATTATTTGTTTCACTTATCATAAATATTTTTAGAAATTTTAATTTTCAATCATTTAAAATATGCGTCGTTTTTCTGGTTCTTTTAACAGATATGATCATGCAGTAATATCCCATTCAACATACAATAATTGGATATATCAACATTCAAAAGCATAACTTCTAAATAGAAGTATTTTGAAGTATGTAATGTAGGTAGCAGACAATACGTAGGGTACGTTATGTAGGAATATAAACAGAAATAATGAATATGCTGACATAGCTTGTTAAGCATGTGTACACTGTACTTACAGTGTCTCGATGCTGGTGTTATAATCTCCTCTCTTGTAAGATTAATTGCTCGCTGGTCACACGTGAGGGTAAGATTGACATGGTATACACGTGGTATACACTATACACGTGGTATACACTACACGTGGTATACACTATACACGTGTATACACGTGGTCTTGACAAGCTGACTAGCAAAGTAAGGAAATTATGTAATATCCGGATATTATGAACATAGTTAAATATATTAGAACATGGTTTATTAGTCACATATTGTAATGGTAGATGTGTCTGGTATTCATATTGTTACAACTTTACAAGACAAAGGAGATAGTAATACTCTTTTCAGTGAATACTAATTAGTGTACGTTTCACTGCGACTTTACTTACTTATTACATCACTACTTTATTTACTTACTACATCACTAATACTACATAATGTCCTAAAATTATGTTCCCGGATAGTTACATTCTCTCAATTTTTAGAGTTCTGATCGTCTTTATGAATTGCTGTATTACCAAGACGAGTTCGTTAGTGTTCTCCTTGGTCATTTCATGTTTAATTCCTGTTTAATTCCATTGCACCTAATTGGGTGTGCGTGAATTTCTTCCTCAACGCTCAAATTAATTTCCGATTCGTGGAATCCCCAAATATTGGAGCATTATTTCGGGCGTGATGTTAACACTACCGCTGTAAGCCTCCACATGATTTTACGGGGTACGCAACTGCTCATATCACTGAAATTCTAATAATATATCCCCATTAAGTTATAAAGATCGGGGATATTATTATCATTTCAGTAAAAATAATATTATTATAATCAAATTATGCACGTGACCGACCCCTCCCTTACAGCCAGCGTAGATATGATACTAGGAACAGGACTCATGAGCTAAATAAATATAAAGTAAAATATTCTAACTACACTCCTCTCATGCTACTTCTTATCCACCCCCGGCTTACTCGCATCTCTCTAATATGCCATATTATGTTGCCCTGGCAACGGCTCCAGAATACATAACTGTAACTACTGCTCCATTTGAAATTGGATATTCTCGTTTTACCGATTTGAGGTCCACATGCTCTTTTAATTTTGTTATAACTGAGCCCCGTACTTCATTTAGAATTGTGGCTTATCAGTGTTTTAACTTTACCGCACATGCTTTACCGCACTTTACCGCACATGCTTTACAATATTAATGGATTTCGTGTCTCACAATCTGTTTGGATAGCGTATCTACTATATACCAGCTACAATCCTCCACTCAAAACTCGGTGATAGTTTGTAGACATTATGATTTTAACTCACAATTTTAAAGCTTCTATGACACGGAAATGGTTACTGCTCACCGTATTTCAGTAGTATGTTCACCAAATGGTCCTTATTAATTATCACTACGGCAACCCAATAACATCGTGCTGTAACCTTGGCAACCAAAGATTTCCTAATAGATCTCTGGACAATATGGGACTTTATGCATTGACGTAGTTACTTGTATTAGTCGATTTTTCTAATTTGCTAATGGTCTAATATTAGATCTCTTGGATTTGGTTTTAACATATTCCTTGATATCATATTGATTCCATTAAGTATGAAAACATTTATAATCCAAATCCCATGCTAAGTTAAATTTGTATCTTAGATACAGAAATTGAGAGTGTCCAACTTACTCATTTTTATTTATGCTGGATTCAGCATGTGATGGTAAGACATATTGATAATGGGTTCCAGGAATCATAGCTTCTATTAGTATTATGATTCTGAGTATTTGGCTATCGGCTGATGACCCCATCATGGTTTATTACATTTTAACTATTATATCGCCTTAATTTAACCGTACTGCAATATTTTTAGTAAACGTTTTGTTCTAAGATCTTGTCGACACTGACAGCTACAACTTTTGGTTGTGTTAAGCTTATTTTAATTTACGATTTTTGGCAGTGATGAGTGACACTGTATGTTTTTTGAAGTGCGTGTCTCCGTCATCATTTACTACAGTAAACTTTTATCTTCAAAAGTACAGCTGCTATACTGAGGACTGTCGTAACTATAGTAACTAAATAGTAGCTAAACTGAACCTGTGTTGAATCCTGCAGTACTTTTGGATTTTTAGATTGGCTGCTTGTCATGCCGTCATGATCTCCTGATCAGAAATATCCATACATCACCGGTTACCTAGATACGAAATATCATTGGCCTACTCCAGTCACGTGGGCTCATCTAACAGCCCTGATTGGACATAAAATATATATATCTATATATTATATAACTCATAAAGTGCACTATATTTCAAATTTAATATGGGATTGGTAAATGTGTGCCTCTCGCTCGTTCAAAGTCGGTGTTAATGTTATCAATGTGTCTATAAATACAAGGTGGCGATCAAACAGCCTCGGAGGAATTGCCATGACAACCACGGCTCTCGTGCGACGTCACTCACACTTAAGTGAGGGTCTGAGACGGTTTAAGTTTCACACTTTCAGTCCTGTTTGTTGTTTTACGCTTAAGCTTGATATACTCCCGCTCGCTCGAGCTCGCTTCCTTCTGTGCTGTGTTTCTCGGAACCAGACTTTACCTCTTTCCCCCGTTTTTTTATTTCGGCTTTTAGTTTGGAATTTGCTTATTATCCCTAGTACAGTTTTACAGTTTTTAACTCTGACAGAAAGTAGACAGTTAATAAATTAGTCATATCATCTTTCTATTGAGAGTCTTTGCTCCCTCTTAGTAACGGGTAACCGTTTGCCTAATGAACGGCTTCTGGACACCGGGGGACTAAAGTGCACTTTAGTCCCCCTGTCTGGAGGACGTAAGACTAAAAATTATCTTTGATAAATGTGTTAACTTCAATAAATAGAACGCTAAGAAAGAGAAGGCAAGATGTAAGGGAGACAGTGAAATGAAGTGTCATGTACGGATATGACAGTAGAACATCGGGACAAGCCAACAGAAACATGATACAGGTACATTTTAGATACATACAAGGCACAAGTTATAATCCTTCTATTTGCACTTTTCCTGTACCACTTTACCACTCAGTGTTACTCTCGAATCAACCAACCAGTACCACTTTTAACTTGATCACTCAGTGCCACTTCGCCACTCAGTGCCATTTTACCACTCAGTGCCATTTTACCACCCAGTACCACCTCACCACTCAGTGCCACTTTACCACCCAATTTCACCTCCCCACTCAGTGCCACTTTACCACCCAGTGCCACTTCACCACTTACAGCTATTGCAGGTGGCGCATCCTCCGCTCCAAGACACCAGACCCAAAACAACACACATAACTTCCTCCCTGTCACGAAACTTCCCCCTCCACAAATCAGCTTACTACAAGAGCTACAAATACAATGTGCTGAGCAACAACGGGAGACTCCACAATGGAGGGAATGGTAATAGTGGGGGACAGAAAGGTGGACAATGCGGACAGAGGAGCGGCATCACTCAATCTGCTCCTAACTTCAACAATATCTCCATGAGAGAGCAGGTTAGCGCAGGTTACTGGTGTTTGATGGACATGTTGGCCAGACCCTCATACTTCATACTTTTCTTACTTTTCAGCATTTTCTCCTAGTTTTCTCCTAGTTTTCTCCTACTTTTTATTTGACCTCCTACTTGCAGCTTACTGATGGGTGATTGTGATTTGCATCTTAATTGCATTAATTTGCATTTTAATTTAATTTAATTATAATTGCGTATGTATTTTGTTATGGTTGTGATCTCATCATAAATAATACAACTTTAGGTTTCATTCCCGGTGTGGACAAAGCCGTTCCGTCCTAAACAAAGTACAGCTTATTCCGGTGGGAGGAAGTTAGTTCAGTCAAGACAACCCAGCCACTTTGTAGTGCATAGTAAAAGGTATGGGAGGGTAAATGTTTCAATCAATGCCAATGGTCCAATTCGAACAGCAATTAAAATCAGCCAGTAGCATCGACTTACATAGACCACGATTTAAAAAAATTTGGCAAATTATAGAAATACGAAGTCCACTTAACAACAACACAGTAACCACCTAACAACAACACAGTAACCGCCTAACAACACCACAGTAACCACCTAACAACACAGTAACCACCTAACAACACCACAGTAACCACCTAACAACACAGTAACCACCTAACAACACCACAGTAACCACCTAACAACACAGTAACCACCTAACAACACCACAGTAACCACCTAACAACACCACAGTAACCACCTAACAACACCACAGTAACCACCTAGCAACACCACAGTAACCACCTAACAACACCACAGTAACCACCTAACAACACCACAGTAACCACCTAACAACACCACAGTAACCACCTAACAACAACACAGTAACCACCTAACAATACAGTAACCACCTAACAACACCACAGTAACCACCTAACAACACCGCAGTAACCACCTAACAACACCACAGTAACCACCTAACAACACCACAGTAACCACATAACAACACCACAGTAACCACCTAACAACACCACAGTAACCACCTAACAACACAACAGTAACCACCTAACAACACCACAGTAACCACCTAACAAAACCACAGTAACCACCTAACAACAACACAGTAACCACCTAACAACACCACAGTAACCACCTAAAAACACCACAGTAACCACCTAACAACACCACAGTAACCACCTAACAACAACACAGTAACCTCCTAACAACACAGTAACCACCTAACAACACCACAGTAACCACCTAACAACACCACAGTAACCACCTAACAACACCACAGTAACCACCTAACAACACCACAGTAACCACATAACAACACCACAGTAACCACCTAACAACACCACAGTAACCACCTAACAACACCACAGTAAACACCTAATAACAACAGTAACCACCTAACAACACCACAGTAACCACCTAACAACACAACAGTAACCACATAACAACACCACAGTGACCACCTAACAACACCACAGTAACCACCTAACAACACAACAGTAACCACCTAACAACACCACAGTAACCACCTAACAACAACACAGTAACCACCTAACAACACCACAGTAACCACCTAACAACACCACAGTAACCGCCTAACAACCCTCTCAGCCCAGCACGACTCTCTACTAAGGGCCAGCAGAAGGAGGACCTGCCACCAATAGTAAACACCAGGTGCCCTGCAGCAGAAACCACACCCCTCTCCCCTGCTGCCACCCCTCCGCCTATCAGGGTCACCTTCAACTACATCAACAGGTCTGTAGTGTGGTCACTAGTGTGGTTACTCACATCTCAGAAGCAGTACGAAATTTAGCAAACTATTAAGATACATGTTAAAACAAGGACAGGCTGTAATTTTCATTGATTTCAATTATTAACTTCAAATCATTCATGATAATAGAATTTAGATGACTCCGATTGTAATTCTCCTCCGATGGTCTTTTAACCAACTCAAAATGCATTACATCACCCTTGCGTGTATAAAACTACCCCATAATGTATAAAATTACTCCTGCATGCATACAATACCCCTACAATGTACATTATATCAGTCTGACATGTACAATGTACATATCAGCCTATACACCTCTCTCTGACATGTACACCACCAGGAGGAACAGTGAGACCCCCACCACGGAGGAAACTTCAGAGTCTAAAGACCCTGCTGAGCAGCTGACTCTAGCGAGGTACAACGAGTTTCTCAGGAGAGTGGGCCACGCTGATCTCACTCACAACTCTTACGTCAAGGTGAATATCTCACTCACAACTCTTACGTCAAGGTGAATATCTCACTCACAACTCTTACGTCAAGGTGAATATCTCACTCACAACTCTTACTTCAAGGTGAATATCTCACTCACAACTCTTACGCCAAGGTTAATATCTCACTCACAACTCTTACGTCAAGGTGAATATCTCACTCACAACTCTTACGTCAAGGTGAATATCTCACTCACAACTCTTACATCAAGGTGGATATCTCACTCACAACTCTTACGCCAAGGTGAATATCTCACTCACAACTCTTACGTCAAGGTGAATATCTCACTCACAACTCTTACGCCAAGGTTAATATCTCACTCACAACTCTTACGCCAAGGTTAATATCTCACTCACAACTCTTACGTCAAGGTGAATATCTCACTCACAACTCTTACGTCAAGGTGAATATCTCACTCACAACTCTTACATCAAGGTGGATATCTCACTCACAACTCTTACGCCAAGGTGAATATCTCACTCACAACTCTTACGTCAAGGTGAATATCTCACTCACAACTCTTACGCCAAGGTTAATATCTCACTCACAACTCTTACGCCAAGGTGAATATCTCACTCACAACTCTTACGTCAAGGTGAATATCTCACTCACAACTCTTACGCCAAGGTTAATATCTCACTCACAACTCTTACGCCAAGGTGAATATCTCACTCACAACTCTTACGTCAAGGTGAATATCTCACTCACAACTCTTACATCAAGGTGGATATCTCACTCACAACTCTTACGCCAAGGTGAATATCTCACTCACAACTCTTACGTCAAGGTGAATATCTCACTCACAACTCTTACGCCAAGGTTAATATCTCACTCACAACTCTTACGCCAAGGTTAATATCTCACTCACAACTCTTACGTCAAGGTGAATATCTCACTCACAACTCTTACGTCAAGGTGAATATCTCACTCACAACTCTTACATCAAGGTGGATATCTCACTCACAACTCTTACGTCAAGGTGAATATCTCACTCACAACTCTTACTTCAAGGTGAATATCTCACTCACAACTCTTACGCCAAGGTTAATATCTCACTCACAACTCTTACGTCAAGGTGAATATCTCACTCACAACTCTTACGTCAAGGTGAATATCTCACTCACAACTCTTACATCAAGGTGGATATCTCACTCACAACTCTTACTTCAAGGTGAATATCTCACTCACAACTCTTACGCCAAGGTTAATATCTCACTCACAACTCTTACGTCAAGGTGAATATCTCACTCACAACTCTTACGTCAAGGTGAATATCTCACTCACAACTCTTACATCAAGGTGGATATCTCACTCACAACTCTTACGCCAAGGTGAATATCTCACTCACAACTCTTACGTCAAGGTGAATATCTCACTCACAACTCTTACGCCAAGGTTAATATCTCACTCACAACTCTTACGTCAAGGTGAATATCTCACTCACAACTCTTACGTCAAGGTGAATATCTCACTCACAACTCTTACGTCAAGGTGAATATCTCACTCACAACTCTTACATCAAGGTGGATATCTCACTCACAACTCTTACGTCAAGGTGAATATTATAGCTGCAGCCGCTTGTTAAATCTCCAAATTTCAATTATACACACCGGATAAATGCACTACAGATATGATACAATGTATCGTGAACACCCTGTATACTATACAGTGTATAGTGTATAATATATATGCATGAAATTATGAGGCCAGCTTTTAGCAGCTGTGGCCACAGAAACTTATTTATATGCATTTGTATAAGTTACCTTTATTTTCAAGCGTTACTATGATATAGATCAACATACAAATACTTGAACATTTGGTGATTATTCAATATAATAATTACGCACCTCTATAAATCTTTATTACCCAGGTTGAGAACTGGTTGTCGGCTCTTGAGAAGGACGGTACTTGGCCGGTACAGTGGTTCTCGTCTAAAACTAAAAGATAAACACTTTCAAATACCAAGTGCACTCAGCACTTACTCCAAACTTGATGATAGATATGTATAACTATATTATAGAAAGTCTGCGGAGGTTTTAACAGAGAGTTGGTTTATCAGACAGTTAATTTAGTAATAATTTCTCTCGTTTTGAACACAGCGGTATTCTATACAATTGATATTTATAGATCTATATTTTAGTTGCTAGCTCATTATTTCAGTCACAAGCAGTCAGCAACGCACACATTTCTTGTAAATAGTAATACGACATAAGTTTTTAATGATCTGCAATTTCAAAGGTAAAGCATAATTGTGAGTATATCAACAGATTAAAATGTTCTTTAATTATTGGGTGATGGCATATATAATGAATGATGATCACCAGAATCATTGTAGGTTTATAAGTATAACCTACCAGGACGCGCGCCGAGTTGGACTCGTCGACGGTCCTAATCCTATATTTGAAACAAATATTTTACGAGTATCACCCGTTAACAGAATCAGCTTAGTTTGATCGGAATATCAGATGCTTTTTATTTAGAAATATTTTATAATAGACAATGTCGATGTATGATTATTGATTTTGATGTATGTGCCGCTTTTGGGTTACACACTTTTTATATAAGTATAAAATCGTGTGGTATTAATTAGTTCTCCTAGCTCATGTGGTTGATTGAATTTTTAATATGTTACAATTATAATTGTAGGTAAACAAGCCAGCAAGATGATAGTGGAAACAACACAGGACGGAGTGTTACACACGACCAACAGTGTGATAAGTGTAAAAGGTGGTTTAAGCACGTGAAGAAACACGCGAGATTTTGTAAGCAGACACCGGACAAGAGCCTGGAAGAGGATGCCGTAGGCATTATCGGTCAGGAAGGAGGTAACACGGAGACGGAACCCAGCCAGGATACAAACCACAGTGCAAAATGGAGGACGTCTACGTCTGCAAACTTTAGATCTCACGCAGATCCACCAGAACCGGTAGTTATTAAAACTCGATTAAAACTACCTAAGGCCAATGATATTAGGTGGGACAAGATTGATCAAGACCTCGGTCTAATTGGTCTCCAGTTCACTACACACAGCGACCCTAGTAAGGGTTTGGAGTTACTTGAGAACACCACCTATGACTACCTCGAGTTGATATGCGAAGTTGGTTCAACAAACATTATACCATCGAAGAAAAAACCGAGACTTGATGCTGAGTGCAGACAGTTGAGGGAAATGAAGAAAGAGAGCAGAAAGGAATGGAAGAGAGTATGTGACTCGAATGATGATGAACAGGTTAAAAGACAGAAGATTTCTTACCTGAAACTAGTACGACTTCATAAAAAAGCAAGAAAGACCGCCCAGAAGAAAGAAAGGAAAAAGATGAAAGAGAATAGCTCCAAACTCTTTAGAAGAAACCCTTATGAGTATGGTAAGAAACTGCTCACGAAGGAAGAGACTAAAGATAAAGAGCCTGAGTTCGACAGTGAAGAAGCATCTAAGTTCTTTGAAAAGGAGTACAAAGATGATGACCGAGAGCGTGACTATGTAAACCCCACAGGACTGAAAGACCTTGACAAACCTAATTGGATCTGCAGTACAGCGCCACCCACATGGGATGAATTCCACCTAAAGCTTAAGTCAAGGAGAAATAAGTCAGCACCTGGGTCAAATGGTGTCAACTACCTGATCTACAAGAAGTGTCGAACTTTCAGTCACCATCTACACCATCTGATATGCAGGATTTGGAAAACAGGAGTTGTCCCCCCACAGTGGAAGGTGGGAGTGAGTACATTAATTCCTAAAACGGATGATCTAAAAGATCCTGGCAAGTTCCGTAACATCACACTCCAAAACTGTAGCGGGAAGCTGTTCTTTGCCATCTGGGGAGACCGTGTACTTGAGCACATGACACGAAATCTGTTCATTGACACCTCAGTACAGAAAGGTTTCATGAAGAAAACCCCTGGTTGCCTAGAACACACTCAAGCCCTCCTTGAAGAGATTAAAGATGCTAAAAGCCACAGAAGACAAGTCCACGTGATCTGGATTGACCTTATGAATGCGTATGGGAGAATCCCGCACAGCCTTATTATTTATGCCCTACGCCGGTACCACCTACCTGAAAGCTTCATTAAGCTTATAATAGAGTATTATGGAAGCCTCAGTGTCCTAGTTAAGTGCAGGAAATGGACATCCAGAACATTCTGGTATGAGCTAGGCCTGTTCCAGGGAGACCCACTGTCCGTGATCCTGTTCCTTATAGTATTCAACATCCTACTGGAACTTCTAGCTGTACTGTGCAGTCAAGTTGGGTATGAGCCAAGCTTCAGTGATAGCAAGACCTCAAAGAAAGCATTTGCTGATGACCTAACCCTGTTGTCGAAGAGCGAGAAGGAGATGAAGAAGATGTTGAAGGTAGTAGAAGAGTTCCTGGACTGGTCGAAGAAAATGAAGGCTAAACCATCGAAGTGCCTGTCTATGTCTATGAAGTGTACTGGAGGAAAGTACAATACCTATGATGCAGAGTTTGTACTAAGCGAACAACAGGTGCCGTCCATTATCCAAGCACCAATGAAGTTCCTAGGAATGTACATGTATGTAGATCTTGAGGTAAAGGAAATTCGGTCCATGATTAAGAAGAAGTTAGAGGACCTTTTGGAAACAACGTCTAATGATGAAATCACCGGTCCAATGAAGGCGTGGGTGTATAACAACCTCATCATTAGTAAGATGTCATGGGGGTTTACTGTTTATAACCTACCCATCACATTTGTGAGAGAGCTTGAGGCACTGTGTAACAGATACCTTAAGAAGTGGCTAGGGATTGCGCATCCTTGTACCACCACCGTCCTCTACAGGAGTAGAGACCAGAAAGGATTGCAGCTGAAAAACATCTGCACTGAGTACAAAGTCATCCAACTTATTAAGGGACACCAACTTTGTAACTCAAGTGACCCCTACATCAAAAAAGTGTACTCTAACCATAAGGCTATTGCAGACACACAGAAGATGTGGTCTTATCCCAAAGAGCTGAAAGACCGTCAGCGCCAACTTTACTTCCAAGAGTTAGTTGGAAAACCTGCAGTTGGTACAACTGGCCTCGGGTATGGGACAAGATATGAGGACACATCAGAGAGGAAACTGCTAACCAACATGGTGAGGACCTTTGATGAAGAGACACTTATTTGTTCACTTTTTGACAAAAAGCGGCAAAACCTCTTTCTCACATGGGAAAATACAATGACATTTGACACCACGTGGAATAACTTGATCTATCAACTTAGTCCGGAACTGTTAAAGTTCCATGTCAATGCTATTCATGACACTGCGTCAACACCTAGCAACCTAAAGCTTTGGAATAAAGCCGTTTCAGGAAACTGTAAACTCTGCAGCAAACAAGGGACACTCAATCATATCCTGACGTTCTGCAAGGTTGCACTAAGACAGGGACGTTTCAACTGGCGCCATGATCAGGTCCTACGTGAAATCATGAAGACTGTTTCATCACAGATTGAAGAGTTTAATTCCGACATCGCCAAGGAATCGAAGAGGGCACCGTCGGTCTTTCACAAGGCAGGCAATAAGCGCGAGAAGGTTACCTTAGCTGACCCAACTCATCATAAGACCCAAAGATATTTCTTTTCAGATGCCAACGACTGGAAGATAATATTTGATGAGGATGAGAGACAGAGGAACTTCCCGCAGCACATTGCAGCTACACCACTAAGACCTGATGTAGTGATCTATTCAGATAAAGCAAAGAAGGTTTATCTAATGGAGCTGACTTGTGGAAATGAGCAGAACTTTGCTGATCAAGAGAAGCGAAAGATGAAGAGATATCAGCAGCTGACAGAAGAGATAGAAGCCAACGGATGGGCTTGCAAGCTCCAGACAGTAGAAGTGGGAGCTCGAGGCATTTACAACTATAGCCTCCCAACCTTTATGAACCACCTGAACGTAAACAACAAAGAGAAGAAGAAGGCCTGCATGAAGATCGCTGAGATCAGCCTGAGGGCATCGTATACCATCTATTTGTCCAGAAACAATACCATATGGACAGATGATTGGGAGTTAGTCAAGAGACCAGTAATAGCATAGTAGGAGCGTAGAATGTTTGGGCCCAGAAAAACATGTTTAATACCGCTATGAACCCGTCATAAGCCGGGGACTACTATGAAAGTGATGATGCTGTGTTGCAGTGGCGTAACAACCGCCCCTGCTAACCCTGCTAGCAGGGGGGCGGCACCTTAGGGGGGCGGCATTTTCCTGGATTGTAGGTCTGATTTCACGGAAAAAGCGCCTTATTGGTGTACTACGTGAAAAAAATATTTGGGGTACCATTGTTGCTTCAGGGGGCGGCAAAAAGGTGTAGGGGGCGGCAAAAAAAGTACCCGACCTTTTTTTTTTTTTTTTTTTTTAGGGACACAAAATTTTAGGGGCGGAAAAGGGGCGGCAATCAGCAGGGGGGCGGCACAAAGTAACGTTACGCCACTGCTGTGTTGTTGAAAGACCTTCGACCAATCAAAGATGTACCTCATCACGCCAAGCAGTTATGCTTGTAGGTGAATATACACTTATAGAGTACAACAACTTTATAACACTCCTCGTATGAAATTCAAACTATATATAATTACTGGCATGTAATACAATCTTACTATATATAAAGCGAGACGATATATATATATATCCACCAGCGGGCTATATTTTGTCATCTGAGCACTCGCAGCCCGATGTTACAAGACACAGTGCGCGTCCAGCCCGCTTAAAATACAGCACGCGAGCAGACGACACTTAACGTGACAAGTAACAATACAGCCAATATAGCCCGCATGAAATTTGTCCAGTAGCGATAAATTTTTGTGTCCGGTAGGGCTGATGATACATATCGTGAGCAGATGACATGAAATCTAAACACTGAACAGTGTTATTGATCCACACTTACACATTACACAGTACACTTTAATAGTTCCCACGGCAATATGTGGATGTAAAGAATGTATCAACTCTGAACTCTGAGCATACCTTATATATCACGCAGGTTGCCATGATTGGCTCATAATCAACACGTGACACACTGTTACTATGGTTACCAAATTCGTGGAGACGTTAAGTCTAAGCCGGTGATATTTTTCAGTATCGATAATTGTTTTGTGTTTACCATTTTCAGTTCACTATTTCAGTTGATAAACCTTGAAATTTAGGCCGACATTTTACGTGCTATTCTATTGTGTTCCCGAAAGATATTTTGCCCTGTTTTTGTTTTGAAACTGCCATTTAAATTGATGTTATAAATTTGATCTTTAACTTTCATATTCAATGTCCATGATCAGACTGTGATCTCGAGCTCTCTGGGTTACTTCTTTTGATTGTCCAGTCACTCAGTAGCTGCTACAGAAACTCTAGTAACTGGTTACCCGGGTAACCCTGGTTACCCTGGTAACTGATAATGACAACTCACGTGGTAGTAGCAGCTGCTCTGTGGCGACTGGCGGTGCTTGTTCTGGTTCCAGGGAGGGAAAGAGGTAGAGAAGTAGAGAGGGTGAGAAAGAGAGTGAGAGGAGGAGAGAGGGAGATGAAGAGAGAGAGGGAGATAAAGAGAGAGTGATAGAGGGAGAGAGGGAGGTAAGGAGAGTGGG